ATTAAATTATTTAAAACAATTTTAATATAAAATTGTATGACTGTAAGCCTATAATCACAATCCACTTCAGCAGGTTCCTTTAGTCAGCAGACACTGCCTTTTAAAAGTGTTCAGCACGATAATTGTTGTGACATATTCTTTGTCTCGTTTTTTCTGTACAAAATGCTTTCCTGAAGTCACCGGTGAATGTGATTCTAACCACACACAAAGAGCTTCTCTGCTATCCTCTCTTTGACTGAAATAGTTCACCCTTTGCAAGAATCCGTCACACTTATATTTATTATTATCGTTGTCCTTTACCTTTTAGTTCAAAAGTGACACTAGTTTGAATTCTATCCTACTTTCATGGCCAAGAAAAAAAAAATATTATCCTATTTTTTAGTATGGTTTTTACATTTTTATTATAAAAAATTAAAATCACAATCAGACTCCAATTTTGCTGAAATGATCATAAACACTTCCTTGGTGTTTATGATAATTTTTTTTTATAAAAAAAACCCTTAACTTGAGTCTCATAAAATACAAAAGGTTATTTCTAACTGTAATTAAGTTAAGGAACTTAATTCTTGTCTTAGTTGTTCAGGTCATAGCAACATTAAAGGACTTATAAGTATTAAGTTAGGGAAAAAAATGTTTATTCACTGAATTTATAAAAAGATTACATAAAAAAAAAACTTAAAAATTAAGTTATTTTGATAAATTATTATTAAAAATAAAATATTTTAATTTTTAAAATAAAAATATAATTATTTTAATCTTTTATATAACATTTTATTAAAACAATCCTAATTTAAAATTTTTTTTCTTAATTTTTTTTACAAATCAAGTTAACAGGCACTAAAATCTTAATTTAGCCCCCTTTAAAATTAAGAATTGATAAGGAACGTGCAAGGAAAAAGCCGAAAAGGGTAAGAATGAGGCCAAATTGGGGGAAGCAAATTGTGGGGGCGTTACACTTTCATCGTACCCACACTTTATTTTTAAAGTTTCAACGGAACCCTTGACCAAATTCTGGACCTAATTACTGCTATCATTTACTTTCTGGGTTGGAGGAACCAAAACTCCAATCACAATCCACCTCTGTTGCTATGGTTGCCTCCAGATCAAGGAAAGAATCTGTATATTTACGAGAAAGTGACACAAATTATAATTCCAAGATTAGAATTTGAACTTTGAATTGAAAGGTAGGCGACTCAGTAACCCGAGTCATAACTCAAATTAAACTCTCAGGCTTGTGAAGTGGGAGGAGGGAAGTGAGAACCCCCAAAAAGGAACAATTTTAGAGGGATTATGTTTGGCTTAGTTTTGAGATCCTAGGTTCTCTGTTACATACATACATAAGCTAAACCCTGGGTCGAATCTCTAAAAGACAAAAAAAAGGGGTTTTTCTCTCTCGTGTTTTAAAGATATATTATAAGATTGTAATTATTATATTTTTTATTATAAATATATATAAAAAATATAAAAAATAATATTAATTTTAATATTAAATAAATTTAATTAAACAGTTAATAAATTAAAAATTAATTTTTATTTTTTAATATAAATTTATAATAAAAATATATATTTAATATACTTTTAATTTATATTA